CACGCTCAGTTGTGTTTCTTTGTTCAGGTTGTGCCTCCTGCTGCCTGCCTGCGTCACCTAGAAATGCTCCCCTTCTTGGCTCTGATGCCCTTGGTGGGGCCCAGACCTGCTCAGGACCACGGAGTCCGGGGGTGGGTCTGGCCAGGCATCCACAGGGGCTCCGAGCCAAAGCTTCTCCCAGAAACACTTCTCTCAGGCCTGGTTTGCAGGCGTGCTGCAGGGCTGGCCTGGATTGTCCTCCTTCAAGCACTCCCTGCTCTATTTCTTTGAAGTTTATAAAAGTTTGTTTCCCCCAAAACCAAAAGCACTTTTTTTTCTTGAGACAAAGTCTTGCTCTTGCCAGACACCAGGCTGGAGTGTAGTGGTGTGATCTCAGCTCACTGCAACCTCTGCCTCCCTGGTTCAGGCAATTTTCCTGCCTCAGCCTCTCGATTAGCTGGAACTACAGGCATGTGCCACCACGCCCAGCTAATTTTTGTATTTTAGTAGAGACAGGGTTTGACCATGTTGGCCAGGATGGTGTCGATGTCTTGACCTCATGATCCACCCACCTCGGCCTCCCAAAGTGCTGGGATTACAGGCATGAGCCACTGCGCCTGGCCCAAAGCACTTTTAATCAGGTAGTTTCCATGGAGGTGGAACTTAATGGAAGGAAGGCCAGTTCCTGGGTTTCTTTACTCATGTAGCAGGGACCTGGGAACTCTGATTTGCACCCAGCCTCTGACTCAGAGCCCATGAGGGTTCCTGCACGAGGCCACTGGCTGCCCCGGAGCTGACAGCATCCTGCATAGTGGCTAGATGGCTTGTCACCCTGGGCCACAGAGGAACAACTGTTTCTAGGGTTTGGCCAGACTTCACGTTCTCCATTCTTTCCATCCCCGTGATGTGGAAGGCACACGATGCCATGTAATTACTTCAGTCCCTTCTTAAAGGAGAAAGAATCTGGACCCGCACTCCAGGACACTCGCAGTTTGAGGGTTCGCTAAGGAATGTTCTTTGTCTGCAGACCCAGCAGCTGCACAGATTGCTCCTGTGTTTTTGCACTATTAATTAGCTTCAAGTGCAATTTTGGCAGGCAAGCCAAGGATCTCAACAGGCTGTTTGGAATGAGGTCTCTTTTAAGGCCTTCAGTGTAGTGAGAAATTTTCAAATCAAAAAGTACAGCAGGAGCCAGGCTTTATTTTGTCTGTATACAATAAAATACTCCACTTCTGCAGGCAGATCAGCCAGTCTTGGTCATAAATCAATTACCTGTGCATATTATTACTGTGCTTATTAGGCGAAAACCCAAACTGTAGAAATTTCTGCTATTCCCAGTGCTTTCTTATACACTAGAAAAAGGTATGAATTTGTTGTCTTTAAAAAAAATGTTATTTTATTTTCTTCTTTATATTTTGGGGATATGTCATAGACTTTTTTTTTTTTTTTTTTTTTTTGAGATGGAGTCTCACCGTTGCCCAGGCTGGTGTGCAGTGGTGTGATCTCAGCTCACTGCAACCTCCACCTCCTGGGTTTAAGTGATTCTCCTGCCTCAGCCTCCCAAGTAGCTGGGACTATAGGTGCCTGCCACCATGCCCAGCTAATTTTTTGTATTTTAGTAGAGATGGGGTTTCACTGTGTTGCCTAGGCTGGTCACAAACTCCTGAGCTCAGGCAGTCCGCCCACCTCAGCCTCCCAAAGTGCTGGGATTACAGGCGTGAGCTACCGCGCTCAGCTGACAATGTTTTTAAGTTGAGAATAATTGTACATACTCACGGGTTACGTAGTGAGCGATCACATCACACCAGGGTCACTAGCACAGCCAGCATCTTGGGCATGTGCCACTCAGCCTTGCAGGGAAGGTGGTGGCCAGCAGTGCCAGCCTGTTGGGGTGTGTGTGGAGGTGGCCCTGAGGGACAGGCGCTGTGTGGGGAAGGTAGTGACAGCAATGTGGGGCTGGTGGGGTGTCGGAGGTGGCCCTAGGTGGACAGGCTTCATGTCACACTGCGATCCTGGTCTCCGTGTGGCTCCGGATCCCTGAGTTGTTGCTTGTCTCTGCTGGGCCTTGCCATGGGTATAACCTTCATGGCGGCTTGCTAGAACTGTGTATAAAAGAAGAATATGATGTATGTTTAATAATTATTGGCACTGATGCATGCCAAATGGTGCTCTGTGTCTGTTGGCTTCAGTACAGTATTTTATTTTCCGTATCATTTTTGCCTTTGAACATCTGGGTCGGGCTTAGCAGATTAACACAGCTTATTCAGCTGCCCTTAGTGCCATCCTGCTGAAGACAGTCCAGAGTGAGAGTCAGAGCAGGTTCTGGCCCAGCCTCCCTTGGACGTCCCAGGGCCCTGCCACCACCACCTTTAAGGTCTGTGGGACTTCTGGCAGTGACATGGGATGAGGCCTGGGTCATGCCCTGCAGCATCTCTCTATGTGCAGTGAGTGTATTCTTAGGGCTGGGGCAGGCCGCCCTGTCTGTGAAACAGAGTTAGACGTAAAATGTGCCACGTTTCCAGAACAGTGTCCGCTGACATTGCATAGCCAGTAACTCAGCTTTCATTCAGGAAAGCGACGAGATGGTAAAAACAGAAAACAAACTTGTGTGTGTACTTTAATCCCAAATGTGAGTTATTTGCAAGAGTGTGTGGATATAGCAACGGGGAGAAAGCCAGATGGGGGTGTGCTTGTGTGGCTCATGGTACCAGCCTCATTAATAGTGGTCTGGATTATGGACAGATTTTGTTTTCTTCCTTCTCTCTTGTTTCCTGGTTTCCTGCATGCACAGTTATTAACAGAAAAGACAAACAGTGGTGTCTCCTGATAGCAGTGTCTCCTGATAGCATGGTCGTGGAGAGGGCTGGCCTGACACAGGGCTGGTGGGAGGCATTGGAGCTGTGGGCCTGGCAAGGGCTTGGGCCATCTCCCCAAATGTCAGCTCACAGGAGCCCTGTGGCCCTGAAGGACATTTAAATTCTAAACACGCTGAAGTCACATTTTAGCGTGGTTGACGAGGGACATAGGAACTGAGAGCAGAGCCTGAGCGGACCCATATCCCTGGCTTTCGTGAGGCCTCCTCCCGGGACGCGGGCACTGGGACAGCATGAGTGTGCAGCCCGGCCCTCCCTTCCAGGGGCCACGCCTGCCGGTTCCAGCAGTGCCTCAGGATCACGCTGAGAGCAGGGGCAGGTGGGAAGGGAGCGGGTCAGCAGAGCCGGCAAGTGGTGGGCTGAGCTTTCTTCCCTCTCACGGCACAGCTTGGGTGTGGGCCATGTGAGATCATGGGCCAGGTGGTGGAAAAGACCTTCCGTGTGAGGTCATCTGTCCGTCCTCTTGGAGCCACTGACCCCACCGTATACTTTCCAGAGCCCCATCCAGCAATCTCAGTCATGACTCAACAGATGAGTTTCCGCCAGCTCCCGAGGGTGCAGAAGGCCTGCTGTCTGCGGCCACGGCTCAAGTCAGGCATTTCTCCATCTGTCTCATGACAAAGATCTCAGCAGGAAGGCCGCGTTGGGAAAGGGACATGTGGCTCATTTCACCTCTGCCATGTGCCCGTGAGTGACCTCAGCCCCTCACTCCCTGTGGCGTCTGCAGAGAGGGGCTGGGTACCCGGCCGGGGAAGGGCTCTTTCTGTAGCGCAGCAGCAACCCTGGCTGGGCCCTTTCTGGTTTTCACAGCTTGTTTGCATTTGTGATCTCATGTGAGCCGCACCGTTCTGTGGAGGGAGCTGGATCTGACCGGCTGGGCCTCTGCGCTGGCCGCCTCCATACTGTTTCTCATGGGTCAGACAAAGGCCGGACCGTGGGCGGGGGCATTGCCTGTGACCCTGAATCCTGAGCTGCATGCGTCCCACCGCCGGCCACCCACCCCACAATGCTGAGCCTCCTGCCATGTCACTGGGTGGAACGTGGGGAGGCTGCGCCCCCAGGGCTCAGGTGCACTGTTCCTACAGACATCCAGAGGAACCGTAGGGACCCCCTCAAGATCACCATCCCCCGGACCCTGGGTGGTCACTGCCGTCCAGCTCATGGGGACACAGAGCACTGAGGGTTCCTTCTCCTGACCTAAGCAGTGATCCAGAACTTTCCCTGAAAGAGGACATGGACATTTATTGCGAGTGGTGGGTCATTCACGTTTCCTTTCCAGTGTATTCTTGTCTGTGGTCAAGTGGGCGTATGAGGTTTCTAGACCTTGGCTGAGTGCGTAGAGCAGCGCTTCACAGTGTGGTTCGCCCTAGATTCCTCACAGAACACAGCCGGCCAGGCCACGGACACAGCACCAGCTCAGTCCTCAGCCTGTCGCCCCCGCTGCACCCAGTGGACGTAGCTCTGTGCCGACATTCCTGGGGCAGTCCGGCTTTCCCCATCCATACCTGCCTGGCCCTGGGTGACTCCAGCTTCTGCACCTGCCGGGCCGGGGTCCGTCTCCCACACCCCCACGACGCTGGCCACCCTCCACTGTGTGGAGAGTTTCGTTCTGTCATTTGCGTCGTGCATGAAACATCCCACACCTAGAGACAAGAGAAGGGGTTTGTGTTTCTTTTTAATCCTGCTTTCCCACTTCAGTCTGCAGTTAGGGACCCGCATGCAGATAGGTCATGAGCATAGTGGCCACGCAAGAGCTGGGGTTCAGATCTGCGCTGCCTGCCTGGGTCCCCAGCTGCCCTGCTGTGGGCTGGAATTCCACACCCACATGCAACACTCCCACAAGGTCAGCCAAACAGAGCAGTCTGCAGCCTGGGGACAGCAAGCCAGGGTGTGGCCGTAGCACCAGGAGGGAGGTGGGGACAGGCAGCTGGCAGGAGGTGGGGCAGGCACCTCATCTCACCAGGCCTGTGCTGGCAGGAGCAGAGCCGTGCCCTGACCCTGGTGCTGGGCTGGGGGCTCCCTCTCACTGGCTCGCAGATGGCGTCACCCAGGTGATCACCCAAAGGCTTTCGGGGAGGAGACAGGGAGATGTCTGTGCCAGGGTTTGCAGAGAAGCAGCCTCCGCTGTGACCTTGTGCTTCTCCCCAGATCCTGAGGAGGATGAAGGGGCTGGCCCTGGAGGCCGAGAGCGAGCTGGAGAGACAGGATGAAGCCCTGGATGGTGTCACGGCGGCCGTGGACAGGGCAACCTTGACCATCGACAAGCACAACAGGCGGATGAAGAGGCTGACCTAGGGGCACACGTCCCCCTGAGATGATGGGCTGGGAGGCGGTGCCGGGGCTGCAGAGGCCTGTGGCCTCCCCCCCGGATGGGGCTGCTGCCGTGGAGCCGCCTCCGCACCAGGGGTGCGCCGTGCCTGCCCCCTACGCGCTTCTCCCTGATGGCGGGCAGGACCCGGCTGCATGTTCTGCAGATGGCGCAGGACAGTGGACATGGCAGGGCCCTAGGGACACTGGGCACAGGCCTGGAAGAGGCCAGCAAGCCGCCCTTCTCATCTCAGCTCCCTTCCGTGGACGGACCGGCCTTCCTAGCTGTGCTATGACTTTGTGAGTGAAGTTAGAGCCAGCTCACCTGAGGGCATCCTCTAACACCCAACTGTTCTTTTATCGTCTCTGTTTTAGCCAGAAGTGAAAACAGCATGACTGCACCTTTCGGCCCCATTTCCATCCAGAAATAAAGCGAAATGCTGGCTTTGGAGTGGTTTTTTGAAGGTGGGCATTGATGTTTCCACCTGGTGCCTTGTGTCTGGTCAGCGGCCGCTCCCTCGGGGGCCCAGGGGGAGGTGAACGTGGCCTCTGGGGGGACCGCGCGTCACATTGCGGGCAGTGCCCCTTCGCCATGCAGCTTCCAGATGCCCCATGCAGGGCTCCAAGGAAGGGTGCAGGCACATGGGAGGTGGGGCCCAGGACCGCACCACGGCCCCAGCCAGCAAGGCGTTCACGCCGACGCAGCCGGTACCCAGTGGTGCTGCATTCCTGGGGCTGCTCAGTGAGCCTCACATGCGGGGGCCTCGCAGCTCTGCAGCAGGAAGCCCCACATCGAGGCGTGCTCTCTCCAAAGGCTCTGGGGCAGACATTCCAGCTCCTGGTGGCTCAGGCGCCTCAGGCACATGGCCACACACTCCAGTCTCTGCTCCATCCTCTCATGGCCGCTCCCCATCTGTGCATCTCATATGCCCCTCCCCTTTCTCTTAGAGGGTGCCTGCCACAGGTCCAGGGCCCACGCTAGTCCAGGATGGCCTGGCATCGATGTCACTCACTGAGGGTGTCTGCCCAGACCCCAGTTCCACAGGAGGTCCTGCTCCGGGGCTCCAGCGGGACTAGGGGCCGTGGTGGATGCAGGAGCCTGGCAGGAAAACTGGGAAGCAGCCTTTCTAGAAAGCCACGGTCCAGGGAGCTCTGATGCTCTTTTGTGCTTGATTTGGAAATTGTTCTCTGCTCTCCCTGTCCTATTGATTTATACTTAGCAGCCTGCAGAAGGGGACCCTGCACTAAGACCGTGGTGAGTGAGTGCTTTCAGCCTGTCTGGGCACCCCACGGAGGCCAGCATTGGCCCCCAAGCCCGCCACAAGACACATGGACACCAGGGCCCCTCCATCCTCTCAGTGCTGGGAGCCAGCAGCAAGGGCTCACCATGCCTGCAGCCCCTGCATGGAGCCCCATCAAGTCTGGAGGAGGCTGCACCCTGTTCTCAGGACCTCACAGTGTGGGTGGGGTCTCCCCTGTCCCAGACCCCTCGCTGTCCTCAGGACCCCATAGCATGGGTGGGGTCTCCCCTGTCCCAGACCCCTCGCTGTCCTCAGGACCCCATAGCATGGGTGGGGTCTCCCCTGTCCCAGACCCCTCGCTGTCCTCAGGACCCCATAGCATGGGTGGGGTCTCCCCTGTTCCTGACCCCTCGCTCTCTCGGGACCCCATAGCATGGGTGGGGTCTTCCATGTTTTCTGACCTCTCACTGTCAGCAAGTTCTTCAGTATCAGGTGAGGCCTTTTGTGTCACTTGACCGCTCCTTGTCCACTGGACCTCAAAGCTAACATGCTGTACAGTAGGGAGAATGCAGAAACGTTCCCACTAAGGTCGCCACCGAGGCCCGCACGTCCGCTATCACCACCTCCTTTCCGCACCTGAAGCTTCGGTGGTTGGAACAGGGCAAGGAAAGGAAGTTAAAGTTAATGATCCTGAAAGAAGCAACACGCTGTCTTGGCTCACAAATGACATTTTCCAGGTAGAAAGTATAAAAAGGGGATCAAAGAAATGCCCCTAGAATAATAAACAACTGTTCAAGATTTCAGAATATACAAAAGTCAGTCACTTTCCTGTATACCAACAAGGGATGAGTGCATTTGAAATTAAAAACAAAATACCTTTATAATACTTAGATATAAGTCTAAAAAATGTGACCTCTCTCTCTATACATATATGAGAAAAACTACAAAACCCTGATGAAAGGAACAAAAGAACCAAATAAATGGAGAAAAATTCCATGTTCATGGATAGGAAGAGTCAGTATTTTCAACATGTTCTTCCACCTTGATCTATAGAGTCAATGCAATTTCAATCAAAATTCCTGCAAGTTATTTGGTGGACATTAACAAATGATCCTTAAGTTTATATGGAGAGACAAAAGACCCAGAATAGTCAATTCAATACTAAAGGAGAGGAGCAGAACTGCAGGACCGATACCACCTGACCAGAAGGCTCGCTGGAAAGCTGCAGTTACCAAGCCGGCGTGCTCTTGGTAAAAGGAGAGAGAAATAAATCAGTAGAGTAGATTAGAGGACCCAGAAATAGACCCCTATAAATACAGTCAACGCATCTTCTAAGAAGATTCAAAGGTAGCACAAGGCAGAAAAGACTTTTCAATGATGGTGCTGGGACAGCTAGACATCCACGTGCAAAAGAAATCCCACACAAGCCCCACACCCTAAACAGAAATTAAAAGGAGCTGGGTGCAGTGGCTCATGCCTGTAATCCCACCACTTTGGGAGGCCAAGGTGGGAGGATCACCTGAGGTTGGGAGTTCAAGACCAGTCTGGCCAACATGGTGAAACCCTGTCTCTACTAAAAATATGAAATTAGCTGGGTGTAGTGGTGAGTGTTTGTGATCTCAGCTACTCAGGAGGCTGAGGCAGGAGAATCGCTTGAACTTGGGAGGCAGAGATTGCAGTGAGCCAAGATCATGCCACTGCACTCCAGCCTGGCAACAGACTGAGACTCGTCTCCAAAAAAAAAAAAAAAATTTCCTAAAAGGAATGGCCCTTGATAAAATGCAAACTGGAGTATATCATTGGAGAAAATGCAGGTTACCTTTGGTAAGATAATGGCTTGTAATTTTTTTCCACTCATTTGTTAATATTTGTGGGTACATAATAGGTGTTTATGGAGTACATGAGCTATTTGGATAGCAGGCATGCAGTGCGTAATGATCACCTCGGGGTAAATGGGGTCTCCATCCCCTCAAGCGTTCATCCTTTGTTAAAAACAATCCAATTATACTCTTTTACTTATTTTTAATGTACAATTAAATTATTGACTATAGTCACCCGTTGTACTGTCAAATCAAAGGGCATATTCCTTCTTTCTAACTTTATTTTCGTGCCCATTAGCTATTCCTGCCTCCTCCCCAAGACCCCACTTACCCTTCCCAGCCTCTGGTGACCATCCTGCTCTCTTATCTCCATGAGTTCGACTGTTTTAATTTTTAGATCCCATTTTAGGGAGAATATGCGAAGTTTGTCTTTCTGTATTTGGTTTATTGTACTTAATGATCTCCAGGTCTGTCTGTATTGTTGCAGATGAGAGGATCTCATTCTCTGCCGGCCATGTGGTCCTCCATGGTGTGTGTGTGTGTGTGTGTGTGTGTGTGTGTGTCTGTGTGTGTGTCTGTGTGTGTGTCTGTGTGTGTGTGTGCTTTGTCCCTTGGTCATTCTCTGACGGCCATGTGGTCCTCCATGGTGTGTGTGTGTGTCTGTGTGTGTGTCTGTGTGTGTGTGTGTGTCTGTGTGTGTGTCTGTGTGTGTGTCTGTGTGTGTGTGTGTGTCTGTGTGTGTGTGTGTCTGTGTGTGTGTCTGTGTGTGTGTGTGTGTGTGCGTGTGTGTGTGTGCTTTGTCCCTTGGTCATTCTCTGACGGCCATGTGGTCCTCCGTCGTGTGTGTGTGTGTGTGTGTGTGTCTGTGTGTGTGTGTGTGTGTGCGCGCTTTGTCCCTTGGTCATTCTCTGACGGCCATGTGGTCCTCCGTCGTGTGTGTGTGTGTCTGTGTGTGTGTGTGTGTGTCTGTGTGTGTGTGTGTATCTGTGTGTGTGTGTGTGTGTGTGTGTGTGCTTTGTCCCTTGGTCATTCTCTGACGGCCATGTGGTCCTCCGTTGTGTGTGTGTGTGTGTGTGTGTGTCTGTGTGTCTGTGTGTGTGTGTGTGTGTGCGCGCTTTGTCCCTTGGTCATTCTCTGACGGCCATGTGGTCCTCCGTCGTGTGTGTGTGTGTGTGTCTGTGTGTGTGTGTGTGTGTGTGTGTGCGCTTTGTCCCTTGGTCATTCTCTGACGGCCATGTGGTCCTCCGTCGTGTGTGTGTGTGTGTGTGTGTGTGTGTCTGTGTGTGTGTGTGTGTGTGTGTGTGTTTGTCCCTTGGTCATTCTCTGACGGCCATGTGGTCCTCCGTCGTGTGTGTGTGTGTGTGTGTGTGTGTGTGTGTGTGTGTTTGTCCCTTGGTCATTCTCTGACGGCCATGTGGTCCTCCGTCGTGTGTGTGTGTGTGTCTCTGTGTGTGTGTGTGTGTGTGTGTGTGTGTGTGTTTGTCCCTTGGTCATTCTCTGACGGCCATGTGGTCCTCCGTCGTGTGTGTGTGTGTGTGTGTGTGTGTGTGCTTTGTCCCTTGGTCATTCTCTGACGGCCATGTGGTCCTCCGTGTGTGTGTGTGTGTGTGTGTGTGTGTGTGTGTGTCTGTGTGTGTGTGCTTTGTCCCTTGGTCATTCTCTGACGGCCATGTGGTCCTCCGTCGTGTGTGTGTGTGTGTGTCTGTGTGTGTGTGTGTGTGTGTGTGTTTGTCCCTTGGTCATTCTCTGACGGCCATGTGGTCCTCCGTCGTGTGTGTGTGTGTGTGTGTGTGTGTGTGTGTGTGTGCTTTGTCCCTTGGTCATTCTCTGACGGCCATGTGGTCCTCCGTCGTGTGTGTGTGTGTGCTTTCTTTGTCCCTTGGTCTGTTGATGGACCCGTGGGTTGCTTCCAGATTGTGGCTGTTGTAAACACTGCTGCAGCAAACGTGGGTGCAGGTACCTCTTTGGTGTGCTGACTTCCTTTTTTGGGGTGTATACCCAGCAGTGGGACTGTTGGATAATGTGGTAGCTCTCTTTTTTAGTTTTTTGAGGAACCTCCAAACTGTTCTTCCTAGTGGTTAATTTGTGTCTAATTTACATTCCCTTGGTGATGGTTTTTTAGATGTAACACCAAAGCCATGATCTATGAAAGAATAAATTGACAAGCTAGACTTTATGCAGATTTAAAACTTAATGCTCTGTGAATGACAGGAGAGTGAAATTACAGGCCACAGACAAAAGACATCTGACAAAGGACTTTATCCAAAATATAAAAAGAACCCTTGAAGCCAGGCATGGCTCCCAGCAACTCCGGGGACTGAGGTGGGGGAGGATCCTTTGAGGCCGTAAGTTTGAGACCAGCCTGGGCAACCAAGCCAGACCTCAT